CAAATAAATATAACTTTTGTACTCAGATACAACATTACTAGAATAATTAAAAATATTTTTGAATGTGTATAAGATAATATTGTGGCTAAAATATGGTTTTTTTTCAATTTTAAATCAAATACTATAAAGAAGAATAGGCAGAGTAGAGTGGTTTAAGAGAAGTATATCCGTACATTGCTAAAGCTAATGAAGTCAAACCGGTTCGATCCAAAATCAACTGAATGAAAATTCTGATTATCGAAAAAATAAACCCCTCTTTTTGACTCCGAAAATATATTTAAACAATAATAGTTCTTCACGCCAATTTTGTTATTTTATACGAGTTATTTTATTTATTAAAATGTGAAACATTATTTGAAGTTTTAAATGATTTTAATAGATTTTAAGTTTAACTGTAACTAGATTTTATGTAAAATAGTACTTGAATTTATCGATGATTTCATATTTTTTCTAGTGCTCATACGTTTCATAAACAAATGAGTTACTATGTCCATAAGAGTTTATGTTTCGAACTAAAACGTGAATATGTAGCTTATAAAATTTTTATTTAGCAGTATTTTTTTGAAATAAAAATTACCCTACTATTGATGAGTGGAGTGATAAGAGAAGATAAGATAAAAAACGAACATATAAGAGGGATCTATACTGTCTCTTATAAGTAGCGTCAATCGTGGATAAGAAAAAATTGATGAGAGAAAATAGACTTAGATGGTTTGGTCGTGTTATAAGGAATCGGAAAATCGAAGAAAGAAGAGGGAGAGGGAGACCAAAATAGAGATTATTGGATGTTATTGAATGTGATATGAAGATGGCTGGTGTGTGCGTAGATGATGTGGGAGATTACGTCAAGTAGAAGTTTAGGATAAGGGTGACCACCCCAAGTAATTCAGAAAAAGAAGGAGAAAAATATTTATATACGGGTGATTGATTAATCGCCGACCACTAAATTTCTCATAAAGTAACAAGAATCTTGAGATTTTTTTTCTACATATAATTACATATATTTTAATTTATAAGTCTATCCCTTATGAGGGTACTAACTTTATTTTAGTAAATGGTATCATACACGTTTGCTAACATTTACTCTATTAAATATTTTTATTATAGTTAAAAAATAAAGTTAATATCCTCATAGAGAATAAGGAATATATCTAAAATATATTTTACAACTTATTAATCGATAAATAAATAATACTAAAAAAAATAATAAAAATTATTATTTTAGGAGAAATTTAGTTTTGTCAACGATAAATTAATCACCTAATGTATATTTCAACATAGCTTATAATGGTTAGTGACTTTTTTGTTATGTATTAATTATTGCGTCAAATTATACTAGTTAAAAAGTTGTTTACGACCAGACATTTTCTTAGTTGCAGTTTATGTATATTACCATATGTAAAAATAAGGTATAGGTCTAAAAAATATTTAACTATTTATAAATCAAGAAAAACGTTACTTAAATAAGTCGAAAAAATAATATATATTAAAATTCTTATTATTTCAAAATAAATTTAGTTGGAAACTAATCACTCTGTATTATTGTCATTCGATTTTTTTGTTAAATGATTCAATTCTCAACAACATTTACATTATCTTGTATTTCTTTTGATAAATTATATTTACCTTAGATCTTTTAGACATATATTACAGAAGAAACTATTGTAAGATGTTTTTGTTTGACTAGTTTTTACATAATTTGTATTGCGTAGATTTTTTTTTGTTACTATTCCATTACTTAGAGCTATTATTAGACTGTTGTTTAAGAGGTTTTTTCAAATGAGTTGACTATCATTGAACAATTTGCATTTATGTAGAATATTATTCTGTAATAAATTAATAGCAAACAAGAATTAAGGTGTTTTTTTTGTAAAAATGAAATACGTCTTATTCTAAAAAGTTGTACATTAAAATAAATATTAAATCTCAATTTGATTAAAATGACCTTCCATAAAATTGTGATAGTTCCATAAAGTAGATTAAGAATGTTGTTTGTGCAAATTAAACATCTTATTTGTTACTTCTTTTAACGCAATATTGGCACAAGGGCAACTAAACTTTACCTATACTTATCGTATTAATTTTTAAGGAGAAAAAATTATAATTATTATTATTATTATTATAACGAAAAAATATATTACATTCCTATAATGGACGTGCCAAAAAGTTAATGTAAAACGATTAACGTTTAATTATAATTGAATAGGTTTTTATGTACTAAATTCCCACAGAATGGTCTAGTTAGTATTGACTTATGTACAGAGACTGATTTTGCAATCGTCATGTCGATTATAAAATTATGATAATTTAAATATTGATTTTTAGTACTTACTGTTCCAAACGTAATTTTTAATATAATCAGATACACTAAAATTGACAATTAAAAAATTTTAAATAGTTAAAAGAAACTCAAATTGTAAAAATTGTTCATTTATAATAGTTAATTATTGTTTTCTGCAATTCACCGATAGTTTCAGTTGTATGGTCTCAAAAAAAGAACCATTTTCACCAAATTTCTAATATACCTGAATGTCATTTTACAGTTAATGATAAGCATCGCGTCGGTAAGGTCCTTGCGACGTCTAAAAAATTGGACCACGTTTCCGCATATTAAACTTCCATAAACTGAAAATCGTCTATGTGATTGAACTCATTAATTATCGACTTAGTACCATCGAATTCGGCGAATATCTAATAGACATATGGTGTTATGCGCTTTTATGGTAAACTATAATATCAGTGGGAATTATTAAATACGTTTAGATAACCATTTTTTACAGTCGATTCAAATGTATTATCATGGTATCGACCATAATTTCGATTGGGGACCAACAATATACTTTTTACTGCGTTGTGTTCACACGTGGGCTCCGAAGAGAGCTGTTCTGGTCGAGGAGGTCGTTCCCCAAAGTGCGTCACGTAACGTCCGCATAGGTTGAGCCTTGGCCGACATCAGATGCGCATTATTCTTATTGTCTACCGCTAAAGACAACAATGAAAGACATGCATCGTTTCTTGTGTCTACGCTCGATCAGTGGTCGCGAAAATAACAATTGCATTGACAAACTCCGACTGCGTTATGATTTTTTTTTTTCATTCTAAATTTTGTCTTTGCTAAAGTCATCTCTTACCAACCCTAAAACAAACAAGGAACGCATTGCGGGCAAGTTTGAAAATCGGCGCATGTGTTTACATCATCGTTTCGATTTTCAATTATTTTCGAGTGGATTCTCCAACAAAAACTCTTAAAAAAGAGTTACGCCGTGCGATGATAACGCAAATAGCATTTCGCAATATTTGTCCCGGGGACACACCAATTCTATTGCAACTCGTTGCGGGATTAGTGTTTCCGGATCGAACGGTCGCACACATTCTCTTTCTCGAGACGGTCATTAGGTAACTACCGAGAGCAGCTGTACACTTGCCGATTATGATTAATGCCGTTTGAAAGCCATTTTAACAGCCGGATCTTGAGAATAACACCTTTATGAAACTCGGGAAATCCCATAGAAAATTTAACCAGGCAGCTTTGTGACATTTTATAGTTCCGCGTACATGACTATTGCAATGATTTTTATTCGATAAATATGCATTGGACGCGTCAACAAATTCATTGTGCAGTTGCCGAATTTCGTATACACGCCAACGGGCCATTTAATGACTTAGTGTTATGGCGTCGTTCAGGGTTGATAAACAAAATGGCATTCTGGCCACGAGATAACTTGACATTTAAGGTCAACAAAGTTATCGCTACGTAGCAGTCTCAAGGTGTACTAGCCCAGACAAAGGTCCAAATTGATTCGACTGCCCTATCATAACACTAGACTATTTAATTATGAAAACATTATACATTATCATGAATATTAAAAAAATAACTTAACGAAATTCCAAAGCGACGTGAATATATTTTTGGGCAGTTAAAAGAAATAATGTGTAAACATATATAATTAACATTGTCGGTCGGGTAAACGAATAATTAGTCGATTTATCGAATAAGACATTTATGAATATTTTAGTCATGAGATGCGGAAAAAATATACAAGGGAAATATCACAGCATTTGAGTCAGTAGAACATTATGAATAAAAATTCGTTAAATGACTGAATAAAAATACACGATTTAAATTCAACGGCGCTGGTTAAAACACGTGCGGAATTAAAACTGATTTTAAATGACTACCACTAGAATACTTTGCATGATCACAAATTTTCTTATGTTTTCTTTATAGAATAAGAATTTCGTTTAGAGTTCACTGAAATCGTGTTGTATGTAGTTTTTTTTCAGAGTATACTTTTATTTTTAAAAATTACAAAATAGTATTTATTTCAGACATGACACGTTTTTCCGAACTTGATTGGATTAAATTAGAAAACCGCATTGAATAAATTTTATAAGTTAACATCACGCAGAAAATAAATATGAAGCATTTAGTTAAAACTGTATGAATGTCCGAAAAATAATATTATAAATATTTATTCTTTTGCCATTGTATGACTCATATTTAAGTATACTGGACTTTAGTGATTTAATAAATGCAACAATTAGCGATAAATAAATTCAAATTGATTTAATTGTCTGAAATTGACTACCACTAACTAATTGAAGCAGTTTTAACGCGAAAAATTTTACGTGTAATAAGCCGACGGGGGTGCTTATGAATAGTTAATTTTAGCCGACGTATATTCAGTGTAATTATCAGTCAGTAATCAGTAATCAACTGGTTTGGCTACCGTTAAAAAGTCAGAAACCATACAGAGAGCTCGGTCTATGAAAATATTTTTTTGTGTTTTTTTCATTCGGTTTGAATTCCTTAAAAATATCTACAAAGTTTAGTTGTGCTGTCTTTTAAGACACGTGCGAAACGATTTCAATTCAAAGTTTCATTTTTTTCGACAAAAACTAATTACAATTTTTTATGAATTTTCTCGTGACACATTTTATGCTGTAACTATTTTTTGCCCGCAAACTATTGATTAATCATTTGTGCATTTTATTTTTAGAGAAGGAAACGAAGAAACCGGTGGCAAGGGTGTGATGTCTTCCGGCGTGGGCAGTTCTCCAGACGTGGTCGCCATGGAACCCAGAGGAGGCAGTGTGGTTGTCAGCAGCGGTGGCGGCGGTGGAATCGTAAACCCGGCTTTCCAACCTCCATCCCTTTTAAGCCAACAAAGCACAGTGTGGACTAGGCGGCAACAGGCCGTGTGTGTCCGGCACGCGTTCAAGCACTATGGTTCTGCCAGCAAACCCAATCACGTTCTCAGCAATCTCAACATGACCGTCGCCAAAGGCACAATGTTAGTACTTATAACCACAGTAACCTGTGTAAGATTAGTCATTTACTTAAGTCGTGTAGAATTTCAAGGAGACTTTGATGTTTCGACATCTCCAACAAATATTTAAGACATTTAGATTCGTGTTAATTGATACACGTTAATGTGTGAAATTACACAAAAGGCTCTTTCAAAAAGTTGATAGTTTTTTCAAAGTTATTTTATGTTTCGGATATTTCAACGAAGGGATTACATTTTGAGAAGATTTTCCATGATATTAAAATAAAGTACATTTAAATTTAATTGATTTAACACTTATAAATAAACGAGCAATTAAAAGTTGGCCTTGATTTGTCTCTTCTAAAATACACGAGTAGTTTTTAAAGATTATTTTAATTGACTATTTATAATCAATTAGACATTATATATCATTTTTCATACAGAATAAAAGTTAAATTGGCCAACATTTTATCACATTTTTATATTTTAATGTATAGCTAATAATATTTAAAAAAATACCAAAAGTTTATTTTTTTGTTTCAACCAAATGAAAGATAAAATATTATTTGTGAAATAATATGTTTAACTGGTCGTTCTGAATTAAAATAATATACAGACAAAAACACTTGTCTGTAAATTTGAAATATTTCACCATTTATACACTTATTCATTATAAACGATAAATATTAATTACAGTTATTGTATCTGTGATCGATACAGAGATATTATACTAAAGACGTTTAAAACAACTTTTTTTTCCTTTGACTTTTTATGAATAGCAGTTTATTACTGTTTTGCTGAATTTCATTAAACACCCACTAGCTGATATTTTTATAACAACTGACTTTTAATGCAATTATTTTGTTATTTTTATTTTACGAAAGTTTTTATTATTTTATATATTTACTGAAATATTAATGTATTAATTCTAACAGGCTCTTAAAATTTAAATAATAATATTAAAAAAATGTTGTTGCTCCATTTCATATTTAAAAAATATTTTGAATAATTTTTTGCATAGGAAACTATAATTATTTTTAAATAAATTTTTTAATCTTACCAACAAATTTATCATTGAAATTAATGATTAACTATCATTTAACGATTAGTACCGGTAGATGCAACACGGTAATGTCAAAACGATAAAATTAATACATTGTTGATTAAAATTCTGAACAGACATAAAAAAAATATGCACACTTTAACAATCACTATTTTATAATATTCCTAGTGATAACCTCTAAACTATGATAGCAATGGCATTTATTTCCAACTTAAGTGTTATTTATTCATTTCAAACGTTATTCTTAAAATGTCCATCAAATCTCTAGTCAACAATCGTTTCAAAAATTCTAATTCGATTATTTGTAAATATAACTAATATAGAAATGTGTCAAACTACATTTTTATTTTTGATTTGATACACCAAAAATCAAATAGCATTGGTTCTATTGCTGTTTCTATTTTCATTAGTGTGTTGAATTTTAATTGAAATTTCCTAATCCGTTCAGAGCATTAACTTCAGTGTGTATTTAAAAAGATGAGTGATTGTTATGTTACGACAGTGATACTAAAAGTATATTACAATTAATTATATTTTATTAGTGTGGATGGCATACTTGATATTGTGGGAGAGTAAATATGTTCATGATAGTATTGCCATTTGTGTGTAACAATACAATGATGTTTTTGGCTAATCGCGCTGTATAATTAATTTTTATTTCCGGGTAAGCGCGTGGTGTGCTAAAAAAAAACTGGTTTCGCGTGTCAACATTTTTATTCCAATCATATAGAACAGACCGCATGTCATGTAATGTTTTTTGTTTTTGTCTTGGAAGCTTAAGGTTTGTGAACCTGCACCGTGCCGTTTCTGTACACATCTCGGCTTTAACTAAAGGGACAATTCGCACGATTCGGCTCGCAAAAGTATTGTTACCGTTGTCTTTATTATGTAAACAGGTGTAAAATAATACTTAAATCGTCTCCGAAAAAGAACGTTTGGGTAGCGTGTAGGAAATAAACGTGCTTAATAATCATTTCCTTAAAAATTATTATTTTGGTATACATGAGAGATTCACTGACAACTCACTCGTTAGTACACACATTATCCTTGTGATGACCTCCAACATTTTATAAGTGTGTTGTGTATTAAAACAACCGGTTTAAAAGTTTCCTATGACCATTGGTTGCAATGTCCATATTTCCATAAAATAATATTTGGTATTGTTATTACTCATTATCAATTCCAATCCTCCAAACGCATACGTCTGCCTAAGATCGTCATCGGTCTTTTCTAATCCACTTTATTGCTTTGATAGCGTCAGCTGTTATATACTTGTTACAACAAAACAATATGACGTTCCAAATGGAACCCAAGTCTGGTTTAATTTCGAATCAAATAATAATGCTAAGTCTTCGGGTAGGACGTTGATCCCATATGAATTATTTATTTTTGGGTAAATGGAATTCAGATAAAAAAATTATGTGCCGAGTGAAATATTTTTGTTAATATTACTTCATTAATTAGTAACGTGACAATAGTAAAATAATTTATTTAATTGAATAATTTAAGAAATTAATTTCTATTTTTTTTTTCATAAAAAAATTGTTGGAAAAAGGACTATCAATATACTTTACTTAATGTATTGTGTGTCTTTGCTACTTAAATGTAAACACACTTGAATCGATAAAATATGAATCATTATTCTCAGTCTCGTGTGATTAAAACTACTAAGAACCATGTTTGCATTTGTATTATATTTACACTTTTGTAGATCAATTTCACCTACTTTTTTGACTGTTAACAAACATATTTTATTTTCATTTATGTTTTAGCAAATTTTTAATTTAAGTCAACATTTTCCATACAGTATAATTAATTAATACAGTTAATGAATTAAATAATTTAGTAACTTTATATGATACTAAAAAAATTCTATAAAATATAAACCGCTAAAGAAAAAATAATTTATTTAGGTTATTTTTCAGTAGTCAGCGTCTTATAATTAAATTCTACTCTATGACGACATCAAGTAGAAAATAAAAATGTACACAATCTTATAACTACCTACGTCATTCATCTTATGGGTTTATCCAACTTTTTTAAAGTATCAATTTTAGTATTTATATACTTATTATAATTGATTGTAATGTAAGGAATAAAAAATGTTGGTATTGGTTAACATTTATTAACATTAAGTTTATTATTTATAAATACATGATTCCAGTCCGGTATGATTAATAACGAACCGGTTTCAAGAGCAATTTTAATATATACATATAATGAAGTAATCCTTAAAAAATAATAACAATGTAAAACATTTGCCGAATAATATGTGAAAGAAACTCGCCGTCCTTCTTTAATCTTAGACTTATAATTTTATTCACTGGATTTTATTTTATTTACAGAAAAATCAATGTGTTTACTATATTGTAGTTTGTCATAAAATTTTATAAAAATTTGGATTTTGTTAGCATATAATTTAAGTATGTTTCAATTAAATACCTAGAATTCCTTTAAAACCATATAAAATCTCGAATAATTTTTTACAAAGCTAATAAAAAAAATAGTTGCATTTAATAATGTACTCAGGATCAAATGTATGTAGGATTGTGTGAGAGTGGGGGTTTACTTCATAATTTAACCAAAAAGAACTTGAATAAGTCTTCTTCACTTTTTTCTTTATTGCTAAATTAGAAGAGAGAAGTCATCAAAACCCATGTAGAGGTTCTTCGGCTGAGTCCCTAGACCCTCTCCAAATGAAATCTGTAATGCGCTATACATATGCGCGTTATAAAAGTATACAATATTTGATAACAATTATTTATCTGTGCTGATATTTTTCAACTAGTTAATATGAATTTTTATTCTATAACAGATATGGACTACTCGGAGCTAGTGGATGTGGAAAGACTACATTGCTTAGTTGTATAGTTGGTCGACGACGACTGAATACTGGGCAAATCTTTGTGCTCGGTGGAAAGCCAGGAACTAAAGGCAGTGGCGTACCTGGAAAACGCGTCGGATACATGCCTCAGGTAAGTCGTGTTGAATCTTAACTGTTGTGTGGTAACAAAGCTGAAATAGGATGTAACAATAGCAATTACATTGTAATAAATAGATAAAAATTTATCCGATCATGCTCAAGTACATCGATCTAGAAATGATATGCATAATCCTTTATTTCTGTTAGAAAAATAACTCTTCAGTTGCACTGTTTGTCCACCTGTAACTGTTAAATAATCGTGAACTTGCATACTTTGAAAAATCACTGTTCATATAGATTAAATGCTAACACGATGAGCAAATATTAAATTTGACAATTTCCTTAGTATACTTGACTATAATAACGATTTCATTTAAGTACTAGTACAAGGTGATTGATGATTATTAATGTTATAAACGAGATGTTTAAAAACAGTTTCCTAGACAGAGTTTACATACGAACAAATTTATTAAATGAGCATCGTAATACTATCTACTTTAAAACTTTGAAATTGTGACTGTTAATAGTTTTTCCTTATGGCAATCAAATAATAATAAGTTTTTAAATGTATAGATAAAATTTAAAAGACTGAAGTTTAGTTATCAAAACACAAATTTATGTTTTTCCCGATAATTTGTCTTTAGTTCTTATTACTGTCTTATTAGTTAAATACAATTCAATAAATCTTACAATTTTTTATACGTTCAATGAAACAACGATGAAAAGTTATTTTTTCTGTAATAAAGACGAGTAATCAAATAATTGTCTTCGTTCTGAGATTATTTATTGAAATTCATTTGAATTTGTGTATGTGGCCGACATAACGGTCTCAAGGCTTAAAGCATTTTCAAGTTATATTTTCGTCATGTTCCAATAACGGCAAGGTTAATCACAGTGGAAACAAGTGATTCTACCGTTTGATTTCAAGGCATATGGAGATGCGTTTGTGCGTACCTTCTCGCGACAACCGTTTTTTTTTTTTTTTTGTTTTGAGGACGATGCCAAGGTCTCGGCGGGACTCTGTCATCAGATTCTGGTGGCAATAACGCGGACGGTTTAATTAACGATTAATCATCGTTAACGCGAATAAAACTTGTAAAAATATTATTTACGATTATTATTATCATTTTTTGTATTCGCACTAACAGTTACGAGTTTTAATGGCTTATACACTCCTAATGTGACGGTCTTGCATTAATTCATTATTTTACAAGACCTCGAAGTATGGTGCAATCAAAGGCCATAAAACTATGAAATAATAAATGTCTCTGCACAATTACTAAAAGAGAGTTTTTTAAATAATGTTATTCATATAATAGATAATGATACGACTAAACGTCTTACTGGTTGAAAAAAATAATGTTCAACGCTAAAAAAAAATAAAAAGTACTACTAAAGTGGTATTTCAAAATAGTAGACGATACGAATCAGAGAAATGACTACGAATTTAGAATATTTCTTTAAATATTTATGTTGAATAATCGTTACTGACGTGAAAAACCCAACACTCATGATCGCCCTAGTAATCACTGCATCTAAAATTGGTGGTTTTTTATGTATTGTTTACATAATTCGAGTGTATGCCGCGGTCAAATAAATTTCTGTAGTAGAGTTCTACAATTATTTTTTAATAATCTATTGATTTCTATTCCTAGTGAATAATTAATTACTATGGATATTAAAATTTTAATGTATATCTAATAATTTAATTCATTATAGTTAATTGTACTAAATTAATAATTTTTTTCGATCTTGCTCATAGAAAAAAAAAAATTGAATGAATAAATATTCTTTTTCCATATATATTATTATATTTAATGATAAATATTTTTTGCTAGTCTATATAAAACATTAGGAATATTACTATTTTTTTCCATTAACTTATGAATTACGGTGAATATCTAGTACAGACCTTGTGTTTTTTTATTTATTTAATAACTTTAAAATATAAAAGAAGGTTTGGTTGTAAACTTGTAAAAATATTCCGATAATTCAAGTATTCAAATAAGTCTATTTATTATATATACCAATGCACTGACTTAAAACAAGCAAAATTTTATTTTCACCTTGGTTCCCCAATATTACACAATTATTTTATTACAAACATTTCAAGTTATTTATGTATGCACACTTTGTTTATTGACGCTTTTAATCTTTAGCCGCTCATTGAGATGATATTTATAATTCTTCTTAGGTCAGTTTTTTGTTGCAAATATGATTGGCTACAACATGTATAAATCTCATATTTCATTAACTTCTTTTTTTATTAAAGTATAGAATGGGAATAAATAATTCTAGAAACATTTTATTAAATAAAATCAATGAAATATAATATAGTATTTTTAAAAATAATATTAATTCTTAAGTGTAGGTCTGATCAACTAATAACAAATTATACTCTGATAAACATCTTATAACACACATATATAAATCTATCTGTGTTGGATATTAACAACTAACATTAGAATCATATAGTTTTATTTTCTACACTTTTTACTCTTAACATTTTGCACATTACAATACACCTAATTTACTGATTTAATTAAAAATTTTTTTTTAATGAACATGATATGAATTGATTTTATATTTTACAATAATATTTCATTAAAATAATATTTATTATTATTTATAATATAATAAAAATATATATTGAAAATGAATATTAATTTATTAATTTTCATTATAACGCAATAAATAACATTTTTTGACATTAGATTAATTATTTTTAATTCTGTATTATTTTCGTGCAACACGATTTTTCCTTGTGTATTTATGACTAGTGTAGTATAGGATCGTCATTATTGAGTGCATTAGCAATCAAACCTCGTAATGATATTATAATTGACACATTATACACACAGCGCACATAAGACTACTGAATATATAATTACCGCGTTCCTTGACGTAACTAGTTGTCGACGCCTTCGCTAAATAATAATAATATGTTTACTGTGGTTTAAGTATAAAAATAAAACCATGTGTATAAAGATATGTTGACTTCCTTAATTATTTATTTATATTAAATGAGATATTCGTCTAAAAAATAGCATTTGTTTTTTCTTTTATATGTTTAAAAAATATATCATATTTTACAATAGAAAAAAAAATCTCATTGTTTTTATTGTTGATTTAATCAAATTGGCTGAGAGTTTTGCATTAAAATTAGTAGACTTTTTTTTTTTTTTTAAACAAACGGGTCCATCTTAATATTTTTTCTTTTTGTTCTTTAGACACCCAAGCGTATAAGATTTAATCTATAGAATGTATTCACTTATTGAATTCACGATTTCTCTTACATTACAGTACCAAATGGTTTCCCCACTAGAAAAACATTCGTAGTGGCTTCATAGTGTTTGTTCAGCAATTAGACTTTAATCATTTTTTAACAAACTACTGGAAATAATTTCGGTAAAATCTGCGCCAGGCACTTTCATACTAGTACAGAAACTTTTCCACTTAACTAGATTCGATTTTCGTTCATATAAAAGTTTGTAAATTACATTAATCATCAGAGTACAATTTTATAGTTTATACATGTAAACACGTAGTACATAAGCTCACGTGCGCAGAAAGAACGTTTGTTGTAATGCAATATTTATATTCTGTTAATTTTAATGTAAGCAGTTTATTGCATTGTTTGAGTTTTAATATATAATGAACAAACAAATCAAAAAATATCAGTTGTACAGTAATATATAGACCACTAGTATTTTACATTTGATTTTATGTTAACATGTAACAGAAAACTCGATTGCCATGATCTCAAGTTGATGCAAAAAGGAGCTGAGTACATTTTGACTGAATTTATCTGAAATATTTATTGATTTAAAAAAATATTAAAAATTTTCATTTTATGCTTTTTGGATCAATTACAAGTTGAATGTTACGATGGCCAACGTTTTAACACTAATAATTTACAAAAACTTTTACTATTGATAAAAAATAATTATGTTATTTTTGTATGCGATTACTTTATTTACTTGTACACCGTACACAGAAATTGAATTGCGAATGTATGAAAAGAAGTGTGTCAACTGAATTCTTGTAACTCTTCTCTTTTTATAAAATAAGAAAGCTATAGTACCCCAACATGCATATTACTCATTAACGATATTAACTTACACGAATACAATTTTATTTACATTTTATATAACTTCGATGTAATTTATTACTTGAGTGAAAATTAAAAAAATTTATTTTTGGGTTCTTGAAATACTTATACTCATTACAAGTTACTCTTAGATGATTTTTTAATGAAGCTATTCGATAATTTTTTCTCAATATTAATACATTTTAATATTTAGAATATAATATATAATAAAGATTCAGTCAACATTTAAAAACAGACTTAATTTTCAAATAAGTACATTATGAAATTTTAATATATGATCTTTAAATATGTTCTTATATGAAGAAATAATATTGACGTAATTAACTTCGGCTTTGTTAATTACGCTTATCAATTATCGAAAGTTTAGGAAATAAGATTTAATAAACCTAATTTATTTTAAAATTATTCTTAAAGGAAATAGCTCTATACGGAGAGTTTTCCATTAAAGAGACGATGATGTATTTTGGTTGGATATTTGGCATGGAAACGTCAGAAATTAATGATAGACTGCAATTTTTGTTGAACTTTTTAGACTTACCTAGTCAATCCAGACTAGTGAAAAATCTTAGGTAATTGTATTTAAACAAATTATTAAAAGATTCATATCACTTAAATAAAAAAACATATGGGCAATTTAAAATTGTTTATGTTTTAGTGGTGGTCAACAAAGAAGAGTTTCATTTGCAGTGGCTCTCATGCATGATCCAGAACTTTTAATTTTAGATGAGCCTACTGTTGGTGTAGATCCTTTACTCAGACAAAGGTTATTAAAACTTTAACCAATTGTAATTTTTATATATAGTTATAATAAATGTATATTTTTTTTAGCATTTGGAATCATTTAGTTCAAATTACTAAAGATGGACATAAAACTGTTATAATTACTACGCATTATATTGAAGAAGCTAGGCAAGCACACACAGTAAGTTTTTAAATTAACCTAAAGAAACATAATATTACTGTAACAAAACTAACATATTTTTTTAACCATAGATTGGTTTGATGAGAAGTGGAAGACTGTTAGCCGAAGAATCTCCAAGTGTTCTCTTATCTATGTATCAATGTCAGTCGTTAGAAGAAGTATTTTTAAAATTGAGTCGAAAACAAGGCTCAGATGGACAAGCACAAGAAGCTCCAGTAAACATATCAAATAATATTTCACTTGTAAGTTTTAATTAAATTATATTCCTTTGGTATGTTCAAAGAAAATTTAATTATCACTTATGAGATATTGATTAATGTAAAGTATAATTACTATAAAAGCCTTATAAAATTCACCGAACATGAAAAAAAAAAATTAAAACTAAGAACCGAATTTTGTAAATAAAGTGTTTATTTTGATATTTGTACTATTTCGGGTTTGGTTATTAGTCCGGTATTCGGCTTTTATAATCTTTGTCCTATCATTTAACAACTTGTGTATTATTATTAATTCACTATTTTAAAATTAGGCAACATTACACTGGGGTAAAAAAGATGAACCAGTATACGTCACTGAAGAGAGTGGTGTTGTTGGCTTAAATTTCCATCAATCTAAAGAAGTTCTTGTTCAAGATCAGAACAACGGTGTTAATGGAAAACTCGCAGAGATGCAAATGATGGAACCCCAATACGACTCAAGTTGTTGTGAAATTACAACTCCAGGAAAAACAAAGGCCCTCTTACAAAAGAACTTTTTGAGAATGTGGAGAAACGTTGGGTAAGACATTAAAATCATTTGATACAATACAAGTATTTGAATGATATTAATTATAAAATTATTATATTGAAATTTTCAGGGTGATGTTATTTATTTTTGCACTACCAGTAATGCAAGTCATCCTTTTCTGTTTGGCTATTGGTAGAGATCCAACCGGATTACATTTAGCCATAGTGAATAAAGAAATGAACTGGGAAACTAAGGACTGTCCGATTTATGATAATTGTACTTTAAGTATGTTCTCTTGTAGATACTTAGATACATTGCCAAAAGAAACTGTCATTCTAGTGAGTAATTTAAAAAATTTATTAAAAAAATTTATAGTGTGGTATTTATGGTAAATAATTTTTCATAGGACTATTATGAGGACCCGGAAAGTGCTATAGAAGCCGTTAGAATGGGAGACGCATGGGGTGCGTTGTATTTCACGGAGAACTTTACTGAAGCTCTTGTTGCTCGTATGGCATTGGGTAGAGATTCAGACGATGAAACTTTAGATCAGAGTGAAATTCGAGTATGGCTCGATATGTCAAGTAAGTAAATCTATAGAAACTTTTAGAGAACAGTTAATTGTAATTTGAGTCATTAAACATAATAAAACGGTTTTATAAGTTTCTGCAAATGTTGTGCAAGTGTTTTAAACATATAATTGTTTTTTGCAAATTTATTTTGATTTTAAGAAAAATGATTGATATCATTTGATTTGAGAGAATAGCATAATATGACGTATCTATAAGCTTTATGAAAAAAATTAAAATTTTTAATTTCAGATAGTAAAATTTGAAAATTATTATTTCGGATTTAAAAATAATGAATTTTGAAATAATGAAATGATACCGGAATAATTTTTAGAAAAATTAAATGATTTTTTTAATTATTCATATATTAATTAAATTAATTTTTTAGTAGTTAAATAATTTTCAGAAAAATGATTGAATTTCAACTCTTACATTAAAACTTAGTAAGTAATTTGAATTAAGAATTCAGACTATAAACATTTTTTAAAGTTTAATATAGGAATTATTTCCATCATTAGTAATTATACAAGAATACACTTCCCCAAAGAAAAAATATGTTTGATATCTTTAGAAAATGAAGTCCATTAACATGTATAAGTCATCAATGATGTTAATTTTTATAATATATTTATTATATTTTAGATCAACAAATTGGATTGATGTTGAATAGAGACTTACAATTGTCATATAGAGATTTTGGACAAGGTTTACTGAAAAGTTGTGATCAAAATCCAAAACTTGCCGATATTCCTATTCAAGTTAGTCGATTTTTATCTTATTTTTAATAAAACTAATTAATTCTTGATTTCATTATTTCTTTAGTTCAAAGAACCAATATATGGAAGCGCGGACCCAAGTTTCACAGATTTTGTTGCACCAGGAGTTATTTTGACGTTAGTAATAAAAAATATTTTAAAATTAAATTTCAAACGATTTACAAATTTTATCTGGTTTTTAGAATTGTTTTCTTCTTAGCAGTCGCACTCACATCATCAGCCTTGATTATAGAACGTACAGAAGGACTCTTAGATAGGAGTTGGGTGGCTGGTAAATATAAATTAATTATTTTACATCATATTATTAAATATATTAATGGCCTAGTATTCATGTGCTTTATTGTTTACTTCTACTAAAATATCTATATCGCTATATAACTTTTTGTTACCGGTATAGATATAAATTTATATAAATATAATAGTTTCTTGATTTATATGAATGTCGTTTAAAAATTTTGTTGTTTGTACATTTCATAAACAATAGCTAATAATTTTAGTTTTTTGAACATTTTAATATTAAAAATTAAAGTCCCATTGTCGAAAATGTTTCCATTTTCGATTTATATCGTAGGTCTTCTAAATATCGTGAGCTATTCATATTTTTATTATTCATTTTGTTGATGAATTTATAAATTTTTAGCAAGATCAAAATATTGTTTTGTTTGTAAATAATTAATAGTGTAAACTAAAAATTTTGAATAGAAAATTCAATTTTTTTCTATTGTGTAGGACTTAAATTTCCAACAAAAAAACAGGTAATATAAATTTTATTTAAATTAAATTTTTTTTATTTATAAATACAATTAATAATTTTTTGAAGAAATTTTTTATGAAACGCTCGTTAATAGCTGTAAAAGATATTTTCGTTTATAACCAATTAATGTATTTCAGTAATATTGTGGAAATTTTAAGGAATAAAAAAATATGGTGGTGTCTAAAGAATTTTATTACAGGTGTCACTCCTTTGGAAATATTGTTTTCACACGTAATAACCCAGTTCGTCGTGATGTGTGGGCAAACTGCATTGGTATTAATTTTTATGATACTTGTGTTTGGAGTGGAATGTAAAGGAGACATAAGTTTGGTCATAATACTCACCATCTTACAAGGTCTATGTGGAATGTGTTTCGGTGAGTTATTAGATTGGGGTTTAGAATTATATTTTTCATAGTTTTATTTTACTAATAATAATAATAAAATTTATTGTAATAGTAATTTATTATTATTACTATAATTTTATTTGAAAAGATAAAAATATCTATTAGAATTTTTATTAGTGTTGATAATTATGATAATTCATTATTTTATTTATATAGGTTTCGTTATATCGGCAATATGTGAACTTGAGAGAAATGCCATTCAATTAGCTCTCGGAAGTTTTTATCCAACCCTATTGCTCAGTGGTACGTATAATTTTTTTAAATTGTACAAAAGTATCTTACAAGTAGTTCATATAAGTAGCAACTATTTTAAATATGATATTCATTTTGTTTATGAATTATGAAAATACGTATTTTAATGGATGTATTGATTCGTTGTTGTATATAAATAAATTTATACAATTATTTATTTTAATCCATAATAACTTGATAGAATAGAATGAAAAAATTATTTTCTGAAGGAATTATAATTCATTAAGACCCCCTCATTGTTGCATCATCATAGTTTAATATAATGGTTAAGTTTTCAATTACACCAATATGGCATGCATTGAACATTAACTATAAATATTAAATGTCATTAGGTTATATAAATAAGTTAAAAAAAGTTTTAATTTGCTATTGGTTTTTAAAAATATGTTTTTATTATTTTGTTATTGAACAATAAGTTAATTACACCATGTACGTGATTTATTTAGCTGTACGTCTTTTAAAACACCAATTTTGAAATTGTATTAACTTGATCTAAGATAACACTATTGGACTTTATACAGGGTGGCCCAGCACTCACTGACAACTTAAATAACTTTTGATCCAGTTAATATTTTTAACTGATTTTTTTTTTTAATAATAGTTATACATTAGGTCTATAGCTATATCTCAATAATTAATTTTTTTACATTTTATTAAAAATATTAATTATTTTTAAATTTTAAATAAAATGTAAAAAAAAAATCTAAAATAGCTATTTTGTAGAATAGAATTTAAGAAAAATTTTAGTAAAAAAATATCTTATTAATATTCAGTAGTATTCAGTATTCTGTAGCATTTTAAAGTTTGTGAAAATTTGAATATTCATGTATCATTTTACGGTATTAAACATTACAAACTTGGCATTAATACCATGATAAGAAATTTGATAAGGTAATTATTACTTATCACTCTCATTCAAATGTATAAGTCATTTTCATGGAAAAAGTTACACACCTCCAAATTATAGTAATTATGAAAAGATAGTGTTTTCTTCTGTCCTTTTCTCAATACGTATTTCAATGTTTAATACCATAAAATAATACATGATAGTATGAAAAAACTGATACAAATATTGAATTGATTTTGCTGTAAATGCACTAAACGATTCGGACTTTGTTCAAAAAAATAGCTAATACTTTTTGGGTTATCTCATACGTGATAATACATAAAACAAATTGTTAATATAACATACATTATATCTAATGTTATTTTGATTAAATTTTTTTAAGAACATACACTACTTAAATATTATGACAATTTGTTGCTACCGTAATTTGTCTTACTTGTACAATGAAATTTATATAGTTTATTAAACATTGTCATTAATTATGGAAGCTAGATTAATGATGGCAATATATTGAAAATGTTCTTCTTTACAGGTGTCATTTGGCCAGTAGAAGGTATGCCAGTACTATTACGATATGTTAGTTACTGTTTGCCTTTGACTATGGCAACCACTTCACTTCGAAGTATTTTAACGAGAGGTTGGAATCTACTAGAGCCCGACGTCTACTTGGGTTTCATATCCACAATTTCATGGATAGTGCTGTTCCTGTCAATAAGTATGGCTGTACTGAAGTTCAAGCGCGGTTAAGTCGTATATCAACTTATTCTCGTATTTTACCACACTCAACCTGATTATTAGTTATATTGTGTTAATATTTGTGCATTTGTTTCTTATGTATATGATAGTATAACATAATAGTATTATTATTAATATACGTGTTGTGAGAAAGGTGGAGAAAGTATGCTAAAATGACGACTTATTGGCGTCAAAAATATATACAAAACTCCACATTGCCTCTCCATATTCCCACGTGAATTAAGTGGCGTTATATAAAATAGTATTCTTATAATATTATCTCAATATTCTATTGTGACATACTTCTGACATTACCGTCCAAAATTATTTTATAGAATATAATATATTAGACAAACTATTATTGCTCAGTACATATTTTTTACTTAATTAAAATACAATAAATATTTATATTCTACGAATATGTTTTAACTTACATCACCAAATATCCATTGTTATTTCTTTATAGTTTGTATCTTACAAATTAAGGGCTGTTGATTATATTTAATGTAAGTTTGTTTTTTACCAACTTTCTTTCGCTTTGTAGTGCTCAATATAGATTTCTAGATTAAATAAATTATATAATAGGTATATTAAATCGTAGTTGACTTACAGCACTTCGACTTATTATATTATTTTTAATATATTTTGTGATTGGTTTAATATTATGATTAGCAGAGTACAAGGCGAGTGCTGACAATAAAGTTAGTCCTCTCGCTTCAGTATTATCATGTGTATATATATATATTTAGTATTATTATTTTATTAATATTTTATTAGAATTTTATTATTATCATTACTCTTAAGGTCGTGGAATATTAACATTATCATTGAACCAACTTAAAAATTATGTTTGGTTAAAATTGTAAAATACTATAAGGATTATAATAAATACTTTTTTGCATTTAAGTGTTGTAATAATTACTGATTGTATTATTTACTGTCACTTTTATTTTGTAACCAAAAATTGAACATCAAGTAGTATCTATGAGTAATACGGTGTATATAAATAAAAAATATTATGTATAAATTTTACTTGTTTTTTATATTTAAACCAATCGTTTTTTTACTTACATTTATGGTTATAATTGATAAATGTGTATAACAAAATTGATGTTTATACTACTATTATATAACATGAAATTTTTAGTTAAATTAACGTAATACAAATGGGTTGATCGTGTGTATTTTATTGTTTCCTCAGATGTGTAGCAGAAAAAAGGTTATTAAATTTCCTTTATCGTTTTGACGTTGTTTGAGGTGAAGAAGGGGTTCAAATATTTAGCAAACCATTTATTGATAACTGACAAGATATTATTATTTAAAAAGTTTTGTGTCAAAGGCTTCAATTTTTATACACGTATGCCACAAAGTAATAACCACTTCATAATTTTTTATACGTTTTCCAAATAAATTACAATACTAAATTATGAAACATCAATATAATACTAATTTGATTGCTACAATAAATACTTATTCATATATTATTCTTTTAAAATAAAAAGCTACAAATCAGGAATAATAAAGGAAAATATGATTTCATATTGCTTTTAGTATAATCCACCAATTTCTTAAATTTAAACAATATCTATATATTTACATTGAAGCGTTTCTTATGTCAGTGATTTAATTTATGTTAGTATATTTTATTGAGAGATTGACAGCAATATTTTTAAAAATATCCTCTAGCCTGGTGTATTGACAAATATTTTTATATCTACGTAAGAATTTTATCAATGTGGTTTTTTTTATTAACATCACTACGTTTTTCTAACTATTTGAAATTGAATATATAAGTATAAATAGAATATGATTTCAAAAGAGTATAGTGTAGTATAAAATATTTTGGTAAGCAACTGATCTTATAAACACAGGATTTCATAGAGAAAATCTATCAATATAGGTGATAATAGAACCTATACATCCTATAAAAAATTATTTGAAAATATAATACAATAAATCTCTATATTTTATTTAAACATATTTTTACTGACGTAGAAAAAAGATTTATAATCTTTATACATATTTTTTATTAAATAAGTGATATTAAATAATAAAGCAGACATTTACTTATGTTCATTATAAATCTACCTAACATTTTAACGAGAAAATTTTCATATTAGAATTTTATTACAATGAAATTTTTTTCGTTTATTTTAATATTTATTGTCATTTTCCTCTTGCAACAAGACACAGGTGTTCATTGTGAAAATTATCATGATATGTATGAAAATTATATCGAAAGGGTGGTGAGTCACATTTATTCAAAAATTATATCGTATCGAAAACAAGATTCAAAGAATACTATTGGTATAGAGGAAAATCTTCAAACAAACACTAACATGTTAAATTTAAGACAAAAATATTGTTATACAATAGGTATACTCAATTATATGTACATTGAAATACTAATAAAATACCTTTATATAATAAACCTTATACTTAGTATATGCCAAAAATATCATTATAAAAATGAATTGAATTATTTCAGTCCCTGTGTAGAAATGCTTGAAAAAGTTCTACAAAATTCCAAAACTATGATTGCAAATCTACACAATGCTATGAAGTTTTTAAGCTATATAGATATAAGATTTTTGTTTTCTGAAGGCATTATACCGCATCCTATAATTGAAGTAATTGACTTTATATATCAGTACGTCTTAGGAAAAAGTCAGGATACCAGCTCTTTAGATCTCAACCAATCACCTTATGATATCTCTGAAATGAAACTTGAGAATTTGACAAAATTTCACACAGACGCATCAAAAATAGTAGGCGACTTTTTTCAAAATTCTAAATATATATTAATTTTTCTAATAAATGATTTGCCAAAAATAAATATTGCGGAATTACCTAATGATTTAAATTTTGCAAGAATAGAAATACTTAATACATTTTTCAACGAAATTGTAGAAGTTTGGTACAAAAACCTAGGATTTGAAGAATTTCTCAACCCTAAAACAGCAGAGTAAGAATTCTTACATTAAATATTAATTTTTAAAACATATTATAGATAATACTTAAAAAAATTTTTAGTAAATAAATATTTAAATAAGAATGTTATTTTCTTATGAATTATAGATACTTTTGTTCTATGACTATATCACACTAATAAAATATGTCGGTTTTTTAAATAGCTGGTTTATCGAAAATAAATAATTATATTGTAACTAGACTATGTAACGTCCTTATTTGGATGTTGTGATTTTGAATCAATATTAGGGTATTGTATTTATTGATTGGTTTTTATATCGATGAGAAGGTGAAAATGTATTAATTTTAGTATGATGTTTTAGCTTCGATGCCAAGCTGAGAAGGTATTGTTTTACTATGATGTTTTTTTTTTTTTATTTATTTATTCACTTTTTTTTTGAGTCTGTTAAAACTTTTTCTCAGCTTTCACAGAACTGATTTCTTTCAACGATACTTCAAAAGAACACAAATCGTATCTAGTCGAAGACATTACCCTCAAAAATTGAAAAAAAATCCCCTTGTTCCCCGTAAATGGGGGAAACCTCCAAAAAAATTACAAATTTAAAAATCCCTAATTTTCGAAATTTTTTCAATTTTTTTTCTTAAAACTGCCATTACATTCTTAAAATTGAACAAATTAATATATTTTTTTTAATAGATGCATAATGTCCTTACCTATCATTTGTAAAATTTTTTGAAAATGAAAATGTCTACCGATAATTCTCGATTTTATTTTATACATTTTTAACTTTTTAATTCTATAACATATTGAAAAGAATATGGATGAACACAATTTTTTTATGAGAAATAATATTTTTTATTTATCCCTTTTTCATTTGACATACATTATCTTAATCAGGATATTAATAACGAAATAGCAGATCATGTAGCTTTTGAAATAATCCACTAATTTTTTGAAATTAAACAGTATTTAAATATTTTCAGCGAAGTGTTTTTTTGATAGTGATTTTAATCACTGTCACATATCATCTATTATGCACCCAATTATACACACTGTGCCGGGATACTGCCGGTTTTTTTTTTTTGACCTAACTATGACATGTCACCACTATGCTGCGACACACCTGTGCTGGTTTTTTTTTTCTAATGTTTTTCTAAATAATACGCGATTTAGATTTCCGTGTCAGTAACATTTATGTCTTTCTGACACGAAGTACGAAGTTCCATCGCGCCTGTGGTATTGAATTTATAGTTTTTCATGAATGTAACAATGGATTGTTACAATTAAAATTAATTACATAATACGCACAATTTAGTATATTTTTTTAACAACTTTTTGATTAGTCTTTATAGTGAAAGTAAATTTCCTATTTAAGTGATCGATTACAATTAAAATGTAAAAAAAAATTAACCTTTTCTATACATTTATATTGTAAATAGTAATTATAAAATTTACTGACTGCATATTCATCTTAACAATAACATTTTTTAATTATCATAATATATTCTATTTGATGATGTCATTATCAAACTGCAAGTTTGAGCTAAAAGTTTTGATAGCAAATACAACTTTTTTGTTCTATCAACTTTCATAAATATCAACTTTGAGGACCAAAAAATTTGATTGATAAAATGATATTTGCAATGATTATTTTTAACATATAAAAATTTTAAATCAGTAATACTTAGAAAAACAAATTTTTTTTTTGTTTTACATAATATTTTTTATATATAAATGCTAATTTTTAACTAATTAGTATTAAAATCAAAAGTTAGAAGTGATAGAAAAAGTCTAATTGTTTATTTGAAAAAATCCATAAAATTGAAATCGAAAATAATATTCTTGATTTTGATGAAAGTACTTTGTACAAATGTGGTTTATAAGTTACAAACATTTTTTTTAAAAATATTGCTTCATGCCCTTTTAATTTTTATACACATTAACGATAGAAATAACGAAATATACTACTGTAAATTTTTTATTATATCTCTATAAAAATTACAATATTAAATTATTGAATATAAATTTAATACTATATTTAATTACTATAATTAGTATTAATTTAAATAATATATTGTACTTTAATAATATCATAGAACTAATAACCAGGATATAATTAAGGAAATATCAATTGTTACTTTTGGAATAATCTACCAGTTTCTTAAAATTAAACACTATATAAAGATTTATATTGAAGTATATCTTATGATTTTCATTTCTGTCATATTTAATCTGTATTTTTAGCAACTATGTGCACGTTCATAATATGCCACGACACTACTGTGTTTATTTTAAATTTTGGTTTGATATAATATATATTATATAAAATTTTCTTTTTTTGTGTTTAATAAATGTTAGATGTTAAATTATCTTTGTTATTTATCCAAAATTATGAAAGAGGTATTTTTAAAATATTAATATACTTTGAATTAATACATTAGTATAATTAAAAAACTTTGCTGAATTGTAATTTTTTATTTATTTCTTAATAATTTAACAAATAAATTATAAGTTACAATACAAATTCTATATTTTAATGATATTTGATTCTTTAACTCAAAATAAAGTAATGTTTCATTCATCA